ATAAACCCTCTAAACTTTACCTTCCAAGGCAGCCCAACAAATGAAAGGCTTGGTGCAAAGGTTGGTGGGAAAACGTGCTTGTAAAGTGGACCAACACGGTTGTCATCCACAGTCACTATCCCATTAGTTTCAAGGAAAGGAAAATGATATTTGTACCTGGGAAACAAATATTAGCAACATTCATGATACTTCATTCTCCCATCAATTAGATTATCTTGTAAGATTACTAGCAATTATTTTCGATTACAAACGTAAAGGTTAGAGATATCTCACTATGAATTAGGAGGTCTGTACTATCAAACTCACATAAATAAGATAACCTCCTTTTCTGTATCCAGAAACAGAAAATTTTACACTCCTTTGGCTAAACTCACAATATCCAATCAAATCTGTGTTCACAAAACTGTCAGACCAAAATAGACTACAACTGGATTTCTGACGTACTTATAGGCTATGAAAATATTTTTTTTTGAGAATAGGCTATGAAAATATTAATAGACATTCTATTAAGCTTACAGTTAGGGGTCCTTTGGATGGTGGGATAAGAAAATATTAATAGACATTCCTTTAGGGTTATAGTTAGGGGTCATTTGGTTGGTGGGATAAGGATAATAATCCCGATATATCCCATGTGGTTATTTTATCTTGCGTTTGGTGATGGGTATTATTTAGTCCCAGGATTATTTTGACCCACCATTTTAGTATAAATGGTGGGATACGTTATCCCTTATAGAAGGTAAGATAAAATAATCCAATGGGATATCCTTATCTAGATTAAAGGGTACAGGGTTTATTTTGAGATTGGCGTACTCAAGAAGATTAACTACTTAATTTACTGTTTCTAACCTATAGATTAGAATATCCTTTTACGCTTACAATTATGAAATTAAACGTATAATATGGGAGGTTCATTTTGAGACTGTCTACTCAAGAGCAGATCAACTACTTTATTTACTGTTTCTTGCCTTTGGATCCATTATCTATCCTTATCATGCCAGTTCCTACTTAACTATCTGTTGACCTCATCATTCTTTTGCTATTTTATAAGGTCAGTTCACCTCGCCATTTCATATCATTATGACCCTCAGAAAAACAGGCATGCATTACCCTTCATTTTCCTCAAAAAGAAAAAGAATAGGCCATCAATGTCCCCTTTCTTTCGTTTTTTTTTAACCTTGGGCGAAAAGGGAAGTTTCAATAAGACTAATCACTCACCCTGTACAGTGTAGGATGATGTCAGCAAGGATTTTGGACCCATCTTGAAAATTCACGCCACCATCACTGCCAACAGCTTCAATCTGCATCATTTAGCTGGTATAAATTTTCTCCTAATCAACTGATGATTCAGCATCAAGTGTTTTTTTATTTTCTTTTTATGACCTAAGAGGATTTCATTAAATAGCATCCAGGGGATGCGAAGTACAGATTCAGCATCAAGCGTTGACAAACCTCCACATGAATATACAAGTTATTAACCACTTTACCATATTATGGAGCCAAATATTATCATAACCAGGCAGCTTCATCGGAACTCCACTAGTAGCTGATCTAGAAGAAATGTGGACCTCTTTAGCAACTTCAGCAATTTCCCTGGAGATATCAGTAGCACTTGCAGCACCACCTATCAGCACAACAACCTGGCAAACCATTTGTCATTTACTCTGAATATGGTACAAAGGGTAGTATGCCAAGGGATCAGGCAAAAAGATGATACTATTTCTTGAGATATATTTATCAAAGATTAGAAGCTGATATAACCAGGGAGCATTTTTCACAAGTCACATCTAGGCTCATATAAGCATACACGTATTTCATTTTCTGTATACTCTTATCATTTCTAAACAGCTTTTTAGGAAGAAGGACTACTATAACTTCTACTAACTATCAATACTCATTTATGAAGAAAAGGTAGATTTAAAATTTAAAAGTTTTCTGTGTTTGTGGCGTCATCCCTCATATATCCAGTGCTTCATGCAAAAGTAAAACTTGAATAATAGAATTGTTCAAGGACGTTCCATTCAATAATCTATTATGTATAGCCTGAAACTTCATGTATAGAATATCATAAAACACTTTTAGTAAGTAACTAAAAGATCACTTCCAATAAGTAGAGCAAATTCATAATTGAAATAACTGCAAGCATTTCAGTCACGTGAAAACAGTATTAGTTCAGAAACATCAACATCTTAAAGAAACAATGAACCTGCCACATACTTGGTCTCGAAAAGGGTCAGGAACACGGTAGTTGTGGCTGTGAATTTGCTTTCCAGGCCAAACTTCAATTCCTGAAAGGCTAGAGGCCTCCAGTTAGAAACTTCAAAAACTGCATATTGACATAGTATGTCAATCGTTGTGGCAACTCACAGATAATCTCAGAGCTAATAATATAGTAATGACACAAAATGATGTTAAAATGGAAAAAGAAAGAAAACTTCAACCACACTATCAAGTTGACTTAACACTATTCTTGAATTTCAAAATACTTCACTGCTATGTTATAGGGTCATTCTGAACAAGACGAAAAATGGAAAAAAGGTGCCAATTCAAATAATAAATCAAAATTTTGAACTGCTCACAACATATAAAACCATAACAGGAAAAAAAATACTTATCCTATGTGTGCCACATGAGAGAAACAAAATTATGTCTAAGCCCTAAAGAAGGCTGGAATCTTTTCAACGAAAAAAGACTAATCTTTTATCCCCAGAATATTCATTCTTTGTCATGGACACTGCCATAACAACGGAAAGAGAAAAGGAGAAAGTTGATCTTTGTCATAAAAAGATCAACTTTGCTCGCCCACAGGCTACAAGCCTACAACTTATATATCAGTAAGTAGGATGGAACTATTAGCTCAATGTACAAATACTTGAAATCTTCATACCAAACTTTATTACAAAAACAAAGATTTCATCAGCACTTTAGACTTATTCCCTCAACAAAACGAATCTATAATTACCACAAAGTGAAACATGACTACTGGAGATAATATTCTATTCAAGTATGAAGAACTAAAATCAAAGTACAATTGGATGCACCCAAGGGTCTGATCTAGTGGTCAATGAAATGGCTGAGAGTCATGAGGTCTCAACTTAAAATCATTCTTCCATTTGTCCTAGCCTTGGTGGACAAAGTTATCATATACGTGTTGCTCACATGATTAGTCGCAGTGCACAAAAGCTAAAAAAAGGTACAATTGGATTACTAAATACTTGATATCTACACACCAAACTTGGTAATGAGTATAAAAAAGTTCATCAGCATTTAACTTATTTCACCAAAGAATGTATAATTCCCAAAAACTTGACAGTGACTAAAGGAGATATAGTACTTTATTCAAAGTAAAAGAATTAAAGATCAAATTTTTCAATAAATTACCAGGAATATCAGCAATTCTTGGTTCAGTATAATGTCCATTACATATTACAACAGCATCATACTCCTCATTAGCAAACATAACATCATTTTCTCTCTTTCTACAACTAACCTTCCATTTCCCATTCTCCATCTTTCCCACAAACCCCACTTCCATCCCAAACCTCACAACCCCAATAATCCCAAAATCAACAGCAAAATCATTCAAATAATTCAACACCTCCCCATGACCCGGATACCTTCTCGGGTCTCTACCGGGCTTTTTCTTGGCCACAAACGGGTAATCCCAAAAACCCATTACTTCCCGGGGAAGATTAACACGAAGAGATGAATAAAGACTTGAATGAACAATCTCCCGATTCGGGTCGATACCAACCGGATCGGATTCTGTAGCGGGTGTGTAGACCCATGTGCCTCCTAATTGATTTTCTTGTTCGAATACAACTACGCTGTGACCTTCTCGTTTGAGTTCTCGGGCCGTAACGAGGCCCGCGGAGCCCGCACCGATAACGGCGACGTTTTTGGAGGAATTTTGAGCCATAGAGAGGATGGGAAAATGGGATAGAAGTATACGAGTATAAGGTTGGTTTGAAGAGATGACACTTCGAAGAATCATGACTTAGGTAGTAGTAATATTTTATGTCTTTTTTGTTTGGTTGAGTGCTGTTTTGCATGTGGATTTGTTTGGTTGATTCCTCACCACATTCAATTGGGATCCCTTCAATATTTCTATGTGACTGACAAAAAGTTTTATTCTTGAAATCTATCTATATATAATAGGAGAAGAAAAAAGTGTCACGTGTCACGTGTCAGTATCACAAAAATTCGGCAAATTTTTTTTTTTTAATTTGTATTTAAAATTAACAAAAAAAAAGAAGTAACCAACTAAATTTTTATTTAAAAAAACTGATTATTAAAAAAAAAAAGGTTAAAAATTAGTGGATATTCGTACGTGAAATGAGTGGTTTTTTTTTTTTTTTTAATGGGGTAGTTTCTTTTTTATTTTTTTATAAATTTATTTTTAATTAATAATCAAAAAATAAAAACTTAAAAACTGATTATCAAAAAAAATTATAAAAATAAGTTAAAACTGTGGATCTGATTACGTTAAATGGGGTTGTTTTTTTTTTATTTCATTTTTTAAAATATATTAAATTATATCCATATAACACACTTTAGTTAATAATATAAAAGAAAAAAACTTCCCAAATACCCAAAAAAAAATTTAAAAATGAAAAGAACCCACATCCATTAAATAATCAATTTTAAATTTGAATTTCAAATATTAACTAATCTTATCCCTTAAAAAACGTCTAAACTTCTTAACCCACTTCTTTAAAAAAAAAAGGGAAAAGGGACGGATTTACCCCCGAACTTTAATAAATGGTACGTATATGCCCTCCGTTATACTTTGCGTCCACATAAGCCCCTACCGTCCAATTATAGGTACACATATACCCCTCTCACTAACGGACCCCTAATTTCTTACACGTGTCTTAATCCTATTGAACTACCCGTTTGACCCTTTTTTTAACCCATAACCCAACTATCCGCCCCATAACCAATACCCACCCAATTTCCTCTAAAAGGAATCCTAATTAAAACACCCAAATTAACACCAAAATTCATCCCTTTTCCACTCCAACTTTCAAGTCTCCACCAAACAAGCTTGAATTTATGAATTGATCACCAAAATTTGGTACTAAAACCAATTGACACTCCTTAATCATGGCCTCCGATAACCAGTTCCCACCACAATGAGTGACAAAACATCCAACAGAAGGATGAGATAACATCAATTGTTGCTCTGCCCATCCTGAATGAACAATGCCTTTCCCTTGTGTTCTCTCTTTGAAACTTTCCGGTAATGCCTCTTCGATTGTCTCAGCTTCAGTAGGCGGTTTTAAAGTAGCGAAAAACGGATAACCAGTAAGTTCAAGTCCCAAAACCAGTTCTTGAAATTGATCTTTCTTGAGATTACATTCTCTACCAAATGCACACAAAATAACCGTCTTTTCTTGGAATTTTTCGAGCCATTTTGACCAATTTTCCTCTGTATTTGAAGTCTCTATTGGTTCAGGCAATACTGGCCCGACTAACACAACTGGTTTCTTGAACCCAATAAGCAAAATCATAGAAAATGAAATGGGGTTTGATTTCTTGAATTAAAGACTCAATCTTTGGTAATGTGATATCCAATGCTTGATAAAGAAGATTCCGACTAGGGAAAAGGGACGGATTTTGGTGTGTTAATTTGGATGTTTTAATTAGGATTCCTTTTAGAGGAAATTAGGTGGGTATTGGTTATGGGGCGGATAGTTGGGTTATGGGTTAAATAAAAAGGTCAAACGGGTAGTTCAATAGGATTAAGACACGTGTAAGAAATTAGGGGTCCGTTAGTGAGAGGGGTATATGTGTACCTATAATTGGACGGCAGGGGCTTATGTGGACGCAAAGTATAACGGAGGGCATATACATACCATTTATTAAAGTTTGGGGGTAAATCCGTCCCTTTACCCAAAAAAAAGTACTACTTAAACTACATCATCCACACCTTTTTAAACCAATTCATCAAAAATGTGTAAAACAAAAATCACATTCAAAATAAAATCCAAAGCCTTATTGTTTGTTGGGAGCTGGATGATCATGCCAATTTCTGCATTTCAGGCCATTATGATGAAACTTTAGTTCAACCTAATCTTCAAAGATCAACTTCCATTTTACTTATTGCCAAGCCAAGAGTGTAAGATTGACAATATTAACCAGTTTTTAAAGTATTTATTTCTTTTTTGTTTTCTTTTTTTATCAAGAAAATGTGTTGTATATGGAGATCTTAGATATATTTTATCTGAATCAAAAATTGAACCAAATTGATTAAATTAATTCATTTTAAGCATAATTTATGGCTTATTAACTTTCTTTCGTATTTTTCCTCATTTCATTGCAGATGATTTACAAAGGAGGAAATATCTGTCATTTATTTTTTTATTGAATGTCTGATTTATGTCATTACCATTGCAATTTGCAATAAAATAATTCATTTAAGCAAAATTTATGGCTTATGAATTATCGTTGATATTCGGGAGATAGAAATTGAATCATTATTATATTTTATTTTTATTTTTATATTTTATGAATATTAAAATGAATCCACAATAAGGGATTTATAGGTAAGTTTTTTTTTATCTGAGATTTATCATAAAATTGAATCATTATTATATTGAATTAAAATATTAATTTAAAATATGAAAGAATATATCTATTTAAAAGATAAAAAAACACTTTTTAATTTTAAACAAAAAAAAAAAGGAAGAAGAATATAAAATCAGAAAAGGAATAATAAAATATTAACTAACTAATTATAAATATGTGGCTATAATAAATATTCCACTCATGATGAAGTCTTTTAAAACAAAATTTATATCTAACTAATAAAACTATTTAAAACACCGACATTGATTAAAAAATATTTTAATGGTAATTTATATTTATTATGACAATGAAAGTGATATGTTCCATTTCACTTTCATGCACCTAATATGATATTTGATTGTATCAATGATTATATAAATCTCTCCATTTGTAAGGCCCTATAACAAATGGATAGTTTTTGCTCAATATTGTGTGAATATCACAGTTAATGACATAAAGAATTATAACAAAGGAAGATCTCTTATTGTCATACATACTTGCCACTACACATACTTTTCCAAAGATTTCAACAAATTACAATACACATGATTTGAATAATAAACTTTACCGTAAACAACACATAAATATTTTTAATTTTTAAAATAGTAAAAATATTTTAAAGGTAACATTAAAAATAATAAATATTTTATAGATAATATTTTAAAAAAATAGAAAAAGATAAGTGCTCTTTTTTCATCTGAGATTTACCATAAATATTTGAAAATATTGAATTCAAAATTTCAATTTAAATTTGTGAAATTAAAAATAAAAAATATTTAAAATTGGAAGATATTTTTGAAGGATAAGATTACTTTTTAATTCTATAAAAAAAAAAAAGATAAATTAGAAAAGGAAAAATAAAATATTATATGTGGCTAAAATAACTAATGGAGTCTTTTAACACATAATTTATATTTAATTAACAAAATAAATTTTAAATATGAAACTAAAAACTAAAAATATTTTAGAAGATAGGGATACTTTTTAATTTAAACAAAAAATGAATAAGATAAAATCATAACAGTTACAAAAAAAATGCTAACTAACTATATTTAAATACATAGCTAAATTAATTACTCCACATACACACGATGGAGTCTTTTTAAAAATATTAAAATCTAAGTATTTTAAAGGGATAAGGGTCTGAAAAATACCTCAACTTTAGTCGAATTTGCTGTTGCGATACTAAACTTTCATGAGGACCTTTTACCTCCCTAGATTATTTAATACCGTATTTTAAACATATATATTTGTCCACGTGGACATAAAAAATAATGCAAAATTATAAATAGTAATGTGTCCACGTGGGCACATATATACCTTTAAAATACACTATTAAATAGTTCAGGGGGTAAAAAATACGGTATTAAATAGTCTAGGGAGGTAATAGGTCCTCGTGAAAGTTTAGTATCGCAACAGCAAAT